GTTCAGGAGGGACAAGAACCTGGGTCCCTCTGTGCAGGGTGAGGGTTCGGCTGCTCGTCAGTGGGCCGGTGCTGTGCCAGCTCACGCTGCCCCCCGGGCGGCCCCCCCCCGGCTCACCCCGCCGGGCCTGGAGGGTCATGCCGCAGGGTACACAGGAGCCTGTGGGCTCATCTGATCCTGCAACAGGCCTGGTGTGTAAAGGAACGGGCAGGAGCAGCAACCGTCTCGCTGTCAGAGGAAGAGCTTTCCAGGGAGAGTAGGGGGGGCCAGGCCTCAGGGCCCAGAAGACGGCACGCCCAGCGCCTACTTGCTTATTTTGGTTGTTGATCAAGGGGCTTGAACTCGGGGCCTGAGCACTGTCCCTCAGCTCTTCAGCTCAAGGTGAGTGGTCTACCGCTTGAGCCACAGCACCACTTCTGGCTTTGAACCGCAATCCTCAGATCTCAGCCTCCTGAGTAGCTATAATTACAGGCATGAGCCACCGGTGCTTGGCCCTACTTGCTTTTCTTAGGTACTCAAAGGTCAGGGACTGAATGGCTTCCCGTTCCAGCCCAAAGTCCAGGGTTTGCTGCCAGCTGAGGTAGTTATGAATGGGACAGGTGGAGGTTTGAGTACTTCCGGGTCTGCCTCTGCCCTCTGGCAGCTGTGGGTGGACGGACACGGCCTAGGTGGGTGGTGTAGCACCGCAGTCACTGTGTGGTGGGACAGACAATGGGCATGGTCAGGCTGGACTCTGGGCATCTGAAGTAGTGGACCTTACAGCACTGAGATGAGAACGACCAGACACCTGCCACAGAAGTACTAACATGCTTCAGACCTGAGTGACCCTGGCCACAACCCACCCACAGGTCAGCAGAGCTCAGTGATCAGGTCACAACCCACCCACAGATCAGCAGAGCTCAGAGCTCAGTGATCAGGTCACAACCAACCCACAGGTCAGCAGAGCTCAGAGCTCAGTGACCCCGGCCACAACTCACCCACAGGTCAGCAGAGCTCAGAGCCCAGTGATCAGGTCACAACCAACCCACAGATCAGCAGAGCTCAGAGCTCAGTGATCAGTGACCCTGGCCACAATCCACTCACAGATCAGCAGAACTCAGAGCTCAATGATTGGGTCACAACCCACCCACAGATCAGCAGAGCTCAGAGCTCAATGATCGGGTCACAGGCAACCCACAGGTCAGCAGAGCTCAGAGCTCAGTGATCAGGTCACAACCACCCCACAGATCAACAGAGCTCAGAGCTCAGTGATCAGGTCACAACCAACCCACAGGTCAGCAGAGCTCAGAGCTCAATGATTGGGTCACAGGCAACCCACAGGTCAGCAGAGCTCAGAGCTCAATGATTGGGTCACAGGCAACCCACAGGTCAGCAGAGCTAGTGACCCGGGTCACAGGCAACCCACAGGTCAGCAGAGCTGAGCTCAGTGACCCCGGCCACAACTGAACCATGCATCCGCAGAGCGCAGCAACACAATGAACGGGGCCTTGTGGAAGCCACCACCACGTAGGATTTCCTTTGTGACCTCCCACCCGCCACACCATGACCTTGGATGCCCACTGGAATGCACCCAAGCCCACACCCAACTTCTTACCAGTACAGATCTTGGCAGCTGGCACACGGGAAGCCCAGCTGCCCGCGCCGGCTGACGCAGCAGCGACCAGGACATCGGAGAAGAGAATGGGCACTGCCAGTCTCAGGGCTAAGGCAGCCGCCGTGTCTCATGGAACTCGGGGAGTCCTCTGTGTGCACGGAAGACTGCAGGAAGGAGGAGCAGCACCTGCTGCACGTCTATAACCCCCCCCCCCCAGAAGGCTGAGGGAGAGCTGCAGGGCTGCAGTCCCAAAGCAGACAAACAGCCTTGACTCATCTTCAGATAAGCAGACAAGAGGTGGGAGGCTGGGCTCCAGCTATGAGGAAGGAAGCAGAGTGAATCTGAGGCTCTTAAGTTCAAGCCCCAGTAGATACAAAAGTGGGCATGTAGCCAGGTACCACTGGCTCATGCCTGTAATCCAAGCTACTCAGGAGGATCACAGTTTGAAGCAAGCCAGAGCAGGAAAGTCCTTGAGACTCTTCAATAAACTACTCAGAAAAAGCTGGAAGTGGCGCTGTGGCTCAAATGGTAAAGTCTAGCCTCGAGCACAGAGAGGCTCAGTGACAGTGCTTAGGTCCTAGTACAAGCTGCAGAACAGGCAAGAAAGAAACAGATATGGAAGATTCAGCATATTCCATGGGCTGGGAAGGTGGCTCAGTGGTAGAGCGCTTGCCTTGCATGCTCGAGGCCCTGGGTTCGATTCCTCAGCACCACATAAGCAAAAAGAAAAAGGCCGGAAGTAGCGCTGTGGCTCAAGTGGTAGAGCGCTAGCCTTGAGCTGAAGAGCTGAGGGACAGCGCCCAGGCCCAGAGTTCAGGCCCTACGACCGGACCCGAAGGAAAAAAAAAAAGATTCAGCATATTCCCTCCACTCTTTAGGCTTTTAAACAGGGTAAGGAAAACAGAAAACACCTCATTTGAACAGTTCTTTTTATTGAAGTACACCAAAAACTAAGGGATACCAGCATAAAACATTGGTGAGGAATTGTTACATTTTTGACGATTCCACCCTATTTCTGTGCAACCCCGCCCCCATCATCAGTTGGTAGCAGAGCATCTCAGAAAGTTCCCCAAGACTTGGACAAAAGCCAAATAAAAGAGCTCAAGGCAGTGTCTTCCCCTCCCCCACGTGAATCTGTCATGCAAAACCACACAACAGTATTAGGAGAAAAAGCCCTAGGATTTATAAAACAAGTATGGGTACGCCAGCCAGTAAAGTGGCGGCCACTTGGCTCTTGGAGATGAAAGGGCTGCTGGGGAGGGTGGTTGTGCCATTGGCTTTGCGGTGCTGTCTTGTGACACGGGGCCAGGGGAGGGGGGAGGGGGAGGGCTGGCAGGGGGCGGCGGGAGCTGCCATGTGGCAGGGTCCCTCGGAGTTCTGTGGATTAGCACTACTGGTCATGATGCGCCGGCGGTGGCGGCGGTGGCTTTGCGTTCCGTGTGTGTGTCCAGCCCCGGGCTGGGGCGGGCAGGGAACTTGGGATGTGGTGGTGTGGGACTCCCAGCGCCCACCTGTGGTGAGTCCCGCTGGGCCACTGCCAAGGCCAGCACGGGGCCCTGGGTGTTAGGACTGTGCCCAGCCTGCGCTGGCTTTGCCGCCGTGGCCCTGGAGGTCCACAGGAGCCGGCTGGTCCTTCTTGGGAACAGACGTGGCCACTACGTGGCCACATGACTGGAGGGAGAGATGCCGAGAGCCAGCGGGGGAAGACTTGCTATAAACACGTCAGAAACCTGGACTCTTCCTGGGTCCAGGGCTGAGTGGCCCAGCCCCGAGGGGCTCTCAGGCTGTGTCACTGCGCAGATCCGTGCGCCCGGGGCTTAACGATGCACTTCCATAAAGCAGCACAGGCTGGCTCCACTCATCATTTCACCAGGAAGACTGCTGGCAAGAGGAAATAGGCACGTGTGTACGTGTATGTGTATGATTCTATAGTCAGAAAGCGTGTGACAAATCAAACAGAATTCAAGGGTAGATCAACATTTTGGCGGCACATATATAGCACCAAGTGCCAACACATCGGTTCTCTACCAGACAGGTCTCCCACTCTATGATTCCCTCTCCCTGGCTCATCAGTTTCTGTGGAGGGGAAAAGGATGACATGGGGCAGAAACTGCCTGCGGCCTGATTGTCAACAAGCAGGCAATTGGGAAGCCTTCCTCCAGAACCTGCGTCTCCTCCACATCCTTCACCTTAGACAGCTGTGGCCAAGTCTTAACACCCCTGGGCTGTGACGCCGTGTGCGTCACATCAGGAGGTTGGCCCGACAATTCTCAATCAGCTCCTAAGGCTACAAAACTGCAAATGAGCAGCAAGGAGCAGCTCAGTGGAGTCCAGCCAGAGAGGCAGGTGTCAGATCGACTGAACAGGCCAAACGAGGTCTAACCTTTGACACTCATGTACGAAAGTATTTGATATAACACTTCTTTTCCAAAAGCAGAATGATCTGGATTATAACCACTGTGAATCACGCCCGTTCAGAATACCCTTGGGTCCAGGGAGCCAGGCGCACACCGATGCACGGATGCGGGAGGCGCGGGGCCGCTGGCAGTGACCACAGCGCGTGCGCACCGCAGGACAGCAGAGCTGCAGGCCCGGCAGGAGACGTGGAAGCCCCTCGCTTTAGCTTGATGGGAGGAGGGAGAAAACCTCCCCCCCCCAAAAAAAGGTGAAAAGAACAGGCAGACTCGTTGCTCCATGAGATAGCTTTATTTTTCTACTTGTGTAACGGGTACAGTGGCCGCAGACGAGCTCTGGTCGGGCCTCTGGGGCTGCTGCCCGTCCCGCCCTCCCTCGGGGGCAGGCGCGGGGCATTTACTTAGTGTCTGGGGAGCAGCTCTCAGGAACCGCTCTGGAACCTCCCAGGGCACCCGCGCTCAGCCCGTGGGCGGGAGTCCCTGTGCAGGGCACGGAACCACGGGGGGGGGTGGGTGGGTGCAAGCTCTACGGCTAGACACGAGGCGGCGGTGGGGAGGGCGGCGGTGGGGAGGGCGGCGGTGGGGAGGGCGGCGGTGGGGGAGGGCAGCAGTGTGGGGAGGGCGGTGTCCGCCTGTCTGGGGGCTGGGCGCTGTGGGAGCCTCCACGCTCTGCCCCCCCCCCAAGCCTTGAGAGGCCTTTCTTCTACCCTGTACGTGTCGTGGCTGGGAAAGACGAGAAACACATTTCTTTAAATTAAAGATCTCTCTTATATACGCATCCATGTTCACGAGTACACGATGCTTCTCTGACTATGTACATCAGCACGTAGCGCTACATCTCCGGGTTTAGACTGTGTGGTAGGAAGAACGCAGTTTAGTTGGCAGGCGCCGCTGGGTCAGGCTGCGGCCGGGCTTCGCCGACCCCCTGTAGTCTGCTGAGCTGCGTGGGGGAGGGGAGGGTCTGCACACGAGGGACGTCATGAGGGAAGGACGTCACTGCAGCCCCCTGGCAGGCAGGCTGCGCTGCCCCCTCCTTTAGTCCTTCCCCGCTGAGGTGGGAGGAGATGCTGGGGAGAGGTGGGGAGGGGGTGGGCCGGCTCAGGGGTCCCAGCCTCCGCGGTCGGTGCTCTCTAGAGAGAGGCTCTTGGTTTTTCGGGGAGATACCGGGCTTGGGGGACTGCTCAGGTTGGAGCTGTTGGAGGCTGTGGAATGCCGCGGGGAGTCGGAGTCCTGCAAGCCCAGAGCAGAGCGGAGTGAGAGGAGGCGCCCGCAGGGGCCGGGGGGCTGCACCCCGCAGCAGCACTCACCTCTCCGTCGTAGCCCCTGGCCGGGGTGTCACTTCCTTGGTCCATGCCCCCTGATGACAGCGAGCCCTCGGACGGGGAGGGCAGGGGCTGCCGCTTGGCGCCGTAGCCTCCGCCCGACAGCTCCCGCTTCAAGGCACTGCCGTTCTGCGCGGAGGAGCCTGTGGACACCACCCACGCTTTACCCACGCGAGCGTGGACACGCGCCTGCCCACCACCTCCCACAGCAGCCTGAAGCCCGCAGCCCGGCGGCTTCCTGCCGAGACTCAAGGTCTCGTCAATACCCGCAGAGTTCTCACAGCCATCCCCCACCCCATGAGCACCCAGAGTCCCCACCCCCATCCCTCATCCCCATAAGCACCCAGAGTCCCCACCCCCATCCCCCACCCCATGAACACCCAGAGTCCCCACCCCCATCCCTCATCCCCATAAGCACCCAGAGTCCCCACAGCCCTCCCCCACCCCCATGGGCACCCAGAGTCCCCACAGCCCTCCCCCATAAGCACCCAGAGTCCCCACAGCCCTCCCCCACCCCCATGGGCACCCAGAGTCCCCACAGCCCTCCCCCACCCCCATGGGCACCCAGAGTCCCCACAGCCCTCCCCCACCCCCATGGGCACCCAGAGTCCTCACAGCCATCCCTGTGAACACTGCTAGGCGCTGGTGACACACCTGTCACCCTAGCTCCTCACACCTGTCATCCTAGCTCGTCGGGGGGCTGAGGTCTGAGGACGGCAATTCAAATCCAGCCCGGGTAGGAAAGGGAGACTCATCTCCAAATCAACACCAAAAAGCCGGAAGTGGCCCGGTGGCTTCAGTAGTACAGAGAGCACCAAAGCGCAGGGCACTGCCCAGACCCTGAGTTCAGGCCCCAGGACCAGCACAGAAACAAAACAAAACAAAGGAAACACAGAGGAACCCCTGCCCCCACGAGCTGAGGCTGGGCTCGCGGTCACCACACTCCTGGCTGGGCTCTGCCGGCCCAGGGGGGCACCCGCCGCACGCCCAGCAGAGCAAGGAGCAGCCTGGGCGTGCTCCAGGGCCCACCTAAGCTCTTCTGTTCGACCCTGCGGCGCTGGAGGTGACCGGCAAGGCCAGCGGCTGTGCGCGGCCGCCGTCCTCTTTCACGCCTTTCCTTCTGGAGAGGCTGCAGCGCCCTTTTCAAGGTGGAGAGGGAGCAGCCAGGGGGCGGAGCCATCCAGCAGCGGTGACCTTGGCTTTCTGGGATAACGCTTGGCCCGGGCTCTGTGGGGAATCCAGCGGGTGACTGGGCCAGGGCGAGGGGTGAGGGGCACACTGCAGGAACGCGTTTGTGTGCCTGAGGTGGCAGGAGGGGGTGTGGGCCCCAGTGCAGGCAGTGTACGTCTGACTGCCCCTTGGGGGGCCAGTTGAAGGCACCCCACACAGCAGACACCCCTTGGGACTCCGGGGTCCCTTCTTCAGATCTCTACAAACAGCTCCTCAGGCCTCCTCAGGAGCTGGCGTGCAGGAGCTCGGGGCTGTCGGGAGGGCGCGGCTTGTGCTGGGTTACAGCAATGCGCACCCTCCTCCGGCCCCCGCTGCAGGACTCTCGCTGCTTAATGCTGATGTATCTGTGGTACTGTTCCAGATCTTTCCAGGAACATAACCTACTAAGGGAAAATTACTTTCTAAAATGTATTCTACCAAAAAAAAAAATCTGAAGCTGGGCACGGGTGGCTCATGCCTGTAACTCTTAATTACTCAGGAGGCTGAGACTGGAGGATCTTGGTTTGGAGCCGGCCCCAGGCGGGAAAGTCTGTGAGATTTGTATCTCCCATTACAACACCAAAAGGTTGGGAATGGGAGCTACTGCTCAACTCCAGTGGTAGAGCACTAGGCTCGGGCAAAAAAAGCCCCAGGACCAGTACACACACAAAGTAAGATCCTCTGAACTCTAAGAACGCCGCACCGCTGCACTTCCCTACCCCTGTCAACTTCAACCCACTACTATCAGCCACCACAACCACGGGCAGGGCCTTGTGTGCGCACGAGTCTCCGCTGGTGAGCATTGGCGGGCAGGGCAGGACCACACTTGTGTGCGCACGAGTCTCCGCTGGTGAGCATTGGCGGGGGAGGGGGGAGCCACAGAGGCGGGCAGAGCAACAGTAATGCTGCAGCTCTGCACTTCCACTCCCGTGTGCTCGGCCCGCCCCGTGTCCCTGGCCGACCCCAGGGAAAGCACAACGCCAGCCACCTGCCGGCCAGTGGCCCCCACGACCTCACCAGATACTGACATCACAGCCGTCTGGGTCTGGGAGAATGTGCTCTGAGATCAGTGACGCAGCCGCTCAGAGCTTTCCTCTTGGGCTCCCCGTGCTCAGCCCGAGGTCCTCAGAACCCTGCCCTGGGCGTGTGTGTTGGGGGGCAGGTGCAATGTCACACCTTCGGGGCACTCGGAAGGGACAGAAAGACCCCAAGGAGTGAGGGCTGCCAGTGCCAGGGCGGGGGCCTGCCCATCACAGGAAGTCTGCTCCACCCAGGAAGAGCAGACCCTGACCCCGAGATATGGGGAGACAATAAGTGTTTACTTTTTAAGCTTCTAAGCTGATTTGCTATAGAGAAAGCAATAATGACGATGGCGTTTGTCCGGTTTCATGTCTCTGTGGGTACACAGCCTGTGCTGAAGCCAACACTGACCGAGAAACAAGCGCACAGGGACAATCGGATGCAGACATCCAACAATCAACAACAGGGGAGAAGGAAGGGAGTTTTCTGCCTGAAAGACTCCAATGCAAGTGTCCGTTTAGTGAGGCCTGGGGTGAAGAGACGCTCCACTGGGGCCAGGCTGGCGGCCAGGGCGGAGTCCTGACCATGGCCAGTCTCTAAGCTGCGCCCCGCTGCAGGACCAGAGACCAGCTCCTGACTCAGAGCCGAGGCACAGTCCTTTCACCCCAGAACCCTGGGGAAGCGAGCAGACTCCACCTGGAGGCCCCCAATCAAGGTGCGGTGGGGCGGGATGGGGCGGTGCCGGGTGAAGAGCCCCGCAGGGATGTAGGCTCGAGGCCAGGCAGCTTGCGGCCCGCCTGGCGACTCTCAGCCTGGCATCTCAGGCTTTGAACATCCTGGCAAATGGGAGGTCTGACTCTACAGCACCCCTCCCCCCCACCCCGGCGGCTCCCAGCGGTCTCTGGACTCCTCTGCTCTCCTTTCCTGCCTGCACGTGCCCAGCAGCTCTGCCTGTCCCACGCCACTAAAAATACAGACTGTGCCAGGGTCTTCCCTTAAGTTCTCACTGCATTTTGATGAAGACGGAACATTTCCTGCCTTGTCTCCAAGCTCTGTGGATTTGTCTCCCACCTCCCTCCTCCTTCCCACAACCACGTGCCACGCCCACTCTTGTCCAGCCAGACACCAAACACAATTCCACCTATCCGGCTGGTGTCACTTTCCTCCTCTGAGCACGGGCCCACACTGATGGCTACCTGTCACCTTCCACCAGCCCAGCTGGCTACCTCTGCCGGCCACCTGGGGCCTGCAGCTCTGCAGACACCACGTCCTCCTTCTCATGGCTGCACCTGCGCCCTCTGGCGTCTCCCAGCAGGGTGCTGAGCTCCTCACCACGCAACAGCAGCTAAGCAGGCGTGAGCCATGACGCCACCGCAGGGCAGGGGCGGGCGGGAGCCACGACGCCACCGCAGGGCAGGGGTGGGCGCGAGCCATGACGTCACCGCAGGGCAGGGGCGGGCGGGGCACTTACGCGCTGACAGGCCACTGCTGGCACTCACGGAGCGGCCTGGCTCAGGGCGGGATTTGGTGATGGATGGAATACTCACAGAGCCGCTGAATACTGCCCGGCTTTCCTGAGGACGGGGGTTCTGAAAACAAAAGGCATGTTCTTTAGCAGAAAGAAACAGCAGGTTTTTTCTGCAAAGGTGTCGACGTCTCACTCTAGTTATGCTAACAGTTGTCACAATAATTGTCACAATCTTGACCAGAATGGCAGAGTAAGGGAGGGCAGGCACTGCACAATTTCTGCCGCCCACCGGGTAATCAGCATTGCAACCAAGGTGAGCGCATCAGATCACTGCTTCTGGTTGTGAAAGCAGTTAAGTCAAAGTCACATGGTTAGAGGTGAAGAATCACATGGACGTTTGCAGGTAACTTTACTGCACTAGGTAGGAAATTGTAACTTGCACAGGTAGTTGCTGCCCAAGTGCATCTGGAGAAAAGCCAATTAAATCAACGCCCCCGTGGCCGTGCGCCGCCCGAGCCGGGGGGTGTGAAGGTGCTCTGGGACTGGGGAGGAGTACGAGTCTGAAGACCGCCCTGGTGGCCCAGCTCTGACTTCCTGAGTAATCTCTGCAAGCTCTCAGCCACAGTGGGCTGGCAGACGCCCAACCTCCCGTAGGTACTTTGTGTTCTTTGATTCCGTGGAATCAAATGGAAGTCATTCCGTCGAGGCCTGCGTGGGCTCCTCAGCAGGTCTCCCAGTCACAGAAGCAGAGCGGCCTGACTGCCCCAGGCCCTCCTCTCAGCTCTCCCAGCAGCGGCTGCTCAGAAGGGGTAGAGGCCGAGGCTGAATTCGCAGTTGCGCCTGTGCTGCGCGGCCCGGCTACCGTGGGTGTCTACTCACTGCCTGCCTCCTGGGGTTCTCAAGAGGTTCACAGCCCGCATGTCCGGGCCCAGCGCAGTGTACCACTTTCCTGCTTTGACAATGGGTCCCACAGCCATCTGTAATTTCACTGCCAACCTCTTCTCTAGTTATCTTGAAACAGCAACTCTGCTGGAGAAGGTGAAACTCTTCTAGAGGCAAGGCTAACTTGTGAAATGCAATTAAAAAAAAATCACATCAAAGCTGGGTGCCAGTGGCTCACGTCCAGCTACTCAGGAGGCTGAGATCTGAGGATCATGGTTCAAAGCCAGCCCAGGGCAAGAAAGTCCATGAGACTCTTATCTCCAATAAACCACCAGAAAATGGAGGTGGTGCTGTAGCTCAAGTGGTAGACCACTTGCCTTGAGCTGAAGAGCTGAGGGACAGTGCCCAGGCCGAGTTCAAGCCCCAGGACTGACCAAAAAAAAAAAGAAAAAGAAAAGAAAATCACATCAAAGTAGTTAGAAAGTTAGAAATGCAAGTTCTGAGCCATCTCCAACAGTTCATATATTAAGAAAAAACAATGAGCCAAGTCAGACCTGTGCACTGCTTCTGCATGACTGCACTTCTGAGTGCTCCTCTCTCATTCTATACACAGCACACAATGGCCGCAGCCACTGGCACTGCTGAAAAGCAGCGGGGAGATTCTCCATCTCCCAGAAGTTCACGGTAAGTGTCCACCCTTTCTGGACTGTAGGCTATGGAATATCAATTAATAAGGAGATCACAGAAGAGACCATGCCTCTGTGCACTATGAACAATCTGGTGTCTCCTGTTCATCTTTTTGTCCAATGAATTTTTCTTAAAAGGACTGATCATACTAGATCATGCCAATGCCAGGAGCGGGTGGCTCACACTTGTAATCCTAGTAACTCAGGAGACTGAGATCTGAGCATCTTGGTTTGAAGCCAGCCAAGGCAGGAAGGTCCTTTACAATCTTCAATTAAGCATCAAAAAGCCAGAAGTGGAGCTGTGGCTCAAAAGGTAGAGGGCTGGCCTCAAGCAAAAGAGTTCAGAGACTGCCCAGGCCCTGAGTTCAAGCCCCAGGGCTGGCATCAAGAAAAATAAAAAGGCAATAAAACATAAAAATAAACTAGTGTGTTTTAAAATGTTACTACTGTCTGCCTCACTTTACTGGCTCAAAACTATAAACCTTTGATCTGTTAAGCCCATAGCATTTATTTTTGGTATGACTTGGATTTGTTTGGGATTCTCATTTATCAATGTTTATACACATTTATGTTAGCAGAATGCTTTAGAAAGCTCAGCAAGAGAGTAAGTCTAAATGCTTAAACGTAATGCTTCGATGTTCAACAGACATTTGTTCTTTCAACCCAGAAAACGAAGAAAACACTGCTGGGAGGCAGTCCCTCCCAGACTCAGCCCCGGGGGTCATGGCTTTTCTGGGGCACGGTCCATCCTGTCCCGGTTGTTTAGGAAGCCCATGGCTCCTGAATGGCTCTATGTCATTCTTCTCTTCTTGCCATTTCTCTTTATTTTTTCTAAGCCACACCCAGACCTGACCTTTTTGTACTGATTGCATTAAGACCACACTAGACTCCAGTACCTTCAGCTGAATAAATGAAAGAATTACATCTGCAATCCCAATTTTCGACTTCAAGTATTGGGATTATTAAGCTGACAGGTAATTCCAAGACTTCAACCTGATCCTAGACAAAGAATTATGGGTGTGGGTATCATCTGAGCAGAACGGCTGTGCAGCGTGGCTGCACAGGGTTTTCCTGGTCCCAGCTGTCAGTGAGGCAGAGGACAGTGGGAAGGGCAGCATCCGGAGGCCACGTGCACATCCTGAGAGGCACCTGCTCAAAGCTGGCTCACTGTCCACATTCTGCATTACCACTTGGTGCCTACACTAAACTGGCAAAGTCCATGTCATTCTTAAGGAGTTATGTGCTTAAAGCAAAAGCTTGCCTTTCTTCTTCCCCAAGAAAATAAAGTGAACGGAATCAGTCAGTGCTAGCAACTCAACATTTACACAAAGAAGATGCAAGCAACAGGGGTATAATGCAGCCAAAAAAGCTCAAAACAGGCAGGAATATCAATTTTAAGTCTACATTGCTATTTATTCTATCGTCTCAAGACACACTGGCATATTTTTCCCTGTAAGTAAGCCTACCCTACAAAAAATAGAAAAGAAGCTTTTAAAATATGCCAATTAGTCAGCTGTTCCCAAATATTAAAATAAAAAATGATATGTAAAAATGTTTTATAGCTGGGCACTGGTGGCTGACACCTGTAATCCTAGCTCCGTAGGATGCTGAGATCTGAGACCCTTGGTTCGAGGCTAGCCTGGTCAGGAAAGTCTGTGAGACTCTTATCTCCAATTAACCAGCAAAAAGGCAGAAGTGGAACTGTGGCTCAAGTAGTAGAGCTACTAGGCTTGAGCAAAAAAGCTCAGGACCAGTGACCAGGCCTTGAGTTCAGGCCCCCACCCCACCCTCAAAAATAAGTTTTGTACACATCACTCAGCCAATCAACATTAAATATGCTTCCTTAGAAAGGGAAAGAAACAGAAGCCTTTGGTTTTTTCGTTCCTCTGATGGTACTGTCCTGTTCAAGGATGACTTGTGGGCTAGAACTTTACCATGGCTCAGTATCACCTTTTACATAGAACTTCACCATGGCTCAGTATCACCATTTATATGAATGACAGCAACCTGGGAAACCAGTTCTAAGACTAGTTCTTTTTTTTTAACATCATGATTCATTCTTTTTTTTGCTGGTACTCAGGATCTTATGCTCTCACTTGACTTTTTAAAATTTTTAAATTTTTATATGCTTCTTTTATTGTGAAAATACTGTACAGAGGGGTTATAATTACATGGGCAAGATAATGAATGAGTACATTTCTTATCAAGCATTGTAGCCTCCTCCTTTGTTTCCCCTTCCCATCCCATCCCCCCCTCACTTGACGTTTTTGCTCCCAGTTGGTGATCTTCCACTTGAACCACTCCAATCTGCCCCTTTTTTTCTTTTTGCTAGTTAATGGAGATGAGTCTTATGGACTTTTCTTCCTGGGCCAGCTTTGAACCTTAAGCCTCAGATCTCAGACTGAGCATTTAGGATTACAGTGAGTACCAACACCTGGCACTGTCATGATTAACTGTCAGGTAAGATACCTAGATGACTTTTTAATGTCAATGACAAAAACATTTAAAACATAATTTAGATTAATCTTGTACATTCAAAAATGAGCTTTTTGCTGGGCACAACGAGCACAATGGCTCATGCCTGTAAGTCTACCTACTTGAGCGGCTGAGATTGAAAGATAGCAGTCTGAGGCCAGACTATGCAAAAAGTCTGAAACCCAGTCTCAACCAAAAAAAGCTGGACAGGTGGCATGTTCCTGTCATCACAGTTACAGCAAGGAGGGTCCGTGGGAGGCCTGTAACCCGTGCAAACGGGGAAAGCGAGGCCTTGTCTCAAAATAGCTGGAACAAGAAGGGTTGGGGGAGGGCCTCAGGTAGCAGAGCACATGCTCAACTAAGTCGGGCCCAAACTCAGTGCTGCTACCCCAAAACGCCATAGCCAATTTTCTTATTGGGAACTTACTACACATGCAAATTTTAAGAACTGATACTACCAGTTTTCTATTATGGGAAGTGAGTTCATATAATCCAATCCAAAGCTGGAAGTCAGTACAGCATATAATACTTGATAAAAGCATGGCTCTTCTGTTTAATAGCCGCTCTCCACCTCAGGGCAAGAGCGCTGTACACAAAGGCCCAGGACTGCAGCAGGGAGGAGGGCCAAGGGCATGTGGATTCCTTTTGTTTCTTATCTAGCCACGACTGGTGGACTCACATCTATCATTTTGAATACTAGCTGGAAGGAAATTTGTCTCAGCAAATTTGTCTCCGTTTTGGAATTCTACCCACTATTCACTTGTAGTACTGTAACTCTACTTTGACTTTAGGGCTTTTCAAAAGGGTCTATCTATGGATACAAATATTAACTGCACTAAAGGTAATGTTCTCTGAATTGGTTATAGGGAAATGAGCTACTAAGGATTCAGAAATTCAGAGAACTTTTTTTTTCTTCTGTTTATCAAGGATAAACTCCATTCAGGGCTATTTTTTTAATGATGGTATCTGTAACAGAAAATATCACAAGAAAATTTTTATCAAACACAGATAAACCCCTAATACCTTGCTTCAAAAGTGAAAGTTAAAATCCTCCTATTCATTCATCTTTTTACTCAAA